CGGACACCCATAAATAGTCTGCTTATTGCTAGAGTGGCCTTATGGCCAATAGACTGTCGCTCTGGTCTTTGGTAACATAGGCTTCACGTTAGAATCCTGATGGTGGCATGGATGTTTTTAGTGGTTGGGAATTCTGTCTTCAGCACATTCCAAGTACTTATTTATTACTCGTTCTAATTCAAAATAATTCGGTATTCATGTGGATTACGAGGTATCAGTTGTTTTTGCTGCTCATATTAAAGATTTACATCTGTTAGTAGTATTATGAGTGGACATTTTTAGGAATTTATTTTATTCAACGATTAACACTTCTTATTTAATTCCTGAATTAAAACTGAATTCGGTGCATTTGAAAAAATGAAAAATAGTCAAATGCAAATAATGTTCTGTTGAATAATGTAGTTAATGTTAATGGAAATTTAAATTAAGAGTTATTGTTGTTGTTGTGACTCATCCTCAGTGTTCTGTAGCTAGGGATGGGAGCCCCATTGAAGATCAATGTCTACTGATAGATTGAACTGCCTGATGATCAATTGACTAGTGCTTTGATCTTCGGTACCACAGGCCTTAGGTTCGAATCCAGGCTGTGTCATGGCTATTTTTGAATGGTTTGAAATCCACGTTAAACTTTAGGTCCTGGTGTAATAAGCAAAAAATGTACAAAAAAATGACCTTAGACGGACAAACCAAACCATGGATAGAAGGAAAGGAGATCTTCTGTTGTGATGGAGCATCCACAAGTCGAAGTCTGACTTGGCTGCTGAGTCATTGAAGAAGAAGGAGGGCCATACCTTCCTGGAGGATACAAGAACTACGCCACATTTGCATATCGTGTGGGAAAAATCTCAGAAAACTGCCATCAAGAAGTATACATATTGAAGCAAGATGCTGATCATCCCTAACGGCATCGACACTCCCTGTTTCTTAAAACAATGTCTACAACAATGCCGCCAGGGAATTGAACATCGGCCCTAATGCTCCGCAGTAGCGCACGTTACCACTGAGCCACGAGTCAGGTAATAAAATCATATTATATGTTATTTTCCTTAGTTACAAATTCAAGTCCTTAGTTCAAAGTTTCTTAAGCTTAGTTTCCTAAATACAAAATCGATATCTATTTTATACTCTTCCTATCACACAAATGCTTGACTTTCCTTTTATTTCAATTTCTCTGTTTTTTCTCAGCCACGACAACATCGTTGTTTCTCCACTCACACTCTCCCCCCCACCCCTCCCGATAAGAAGACTGCGAGCATTTGAAATATCTCGAAGTCCTTTTTCATTTGAAACTTTCGTGAAATGTCATTCCGAAATGTTCTTTTCTTGTGATTCTTCCAGTTTTCTCCGGGTCATTTCTATGTAAACAAAAAGGAAAAGTATAGCATCAAGAGAAAGTATCGTTTCGACCGAAGTGGCTAAAAGAAAAACATTCTGTTGAAGTGATTTTGTTGCCTCAATCTCCATATTAACAAAAGTCATTGACGAATCAAACTGTCTTCTTCGCATTCCAAGTGCTTAATTATTTCTCTTTCTAATATAAATCAATTCGACATGTTTGTGTGTTGTCAGATATTAGTTGTTTTGTTGCTCTTATTAAAGACTTACTTTTGTTAGCAGTATTATATTAAATGGAAAAGTTGAGCAATTTATTTTACTCAACAAAGGATAATGTTTTTTTTATGAATTCCTGAATTAAAACTGAATTCGATGCGTTTAAAGAAATGAAAAATAATAGAATGCAAATTATTTTCTGCGAAACATTATACTTAATGTTAATCCAAAGTACAATTAAGAGTTATTATTGTTGTTGTGTTAGGCGGCGAAGGGCGGACATTCCATGAATACATTTCTACTCATGGATGGAGCGTCCTTTGATACCACAGGTTTCAGGTTATAATCCCGGTGTTGGCATGGATGTTTTTAGTGGTTCGGGATCCACATTAATCTGTAGTTCCCGATGTCATTAGCCTAAAGTGTGCAAAAAATGACCATACAGCGACAAACCAAATCAAGGATGAAGTAAAAAGGAAGAAGCTTCTGTTTTGATGGAGCACACGTAGGTAGAAGTCTGACTTGGCTCCGTATCCTCTGAAGAAGGAGGTCAGTGGCTTCCGGGAGGAATTTTAGGCGGAACTATCCCGTATTTGCGTATTGTATGGGAGAAAACCCGGGAAATTCTGATCAGGTTGTACGACTCACGAGGGAAAGATGCTGGACATCCAAAAACTTTAAATTTGGCTTTGAGTAGATGAGCGCTTCGCGCAAAGGTACTCAACCTTCATTCATTCTAAGAAGACTGTACTCCTTCTTCAGCGACTCGGAGCCAAGTCAGACTTCTACCTACGTGTGCTCCATCACAAGAAGCTGGTCTCTTTCCATCCATCATGAGAAGATACTCATGAGATGTCCGCCCCGCGCTGCAGGACATTGTGGATTAGTAACCTGTAACGAATAATAACAATTTCTGAGAATGATAAAGACTGCTTTTTAAACACTCTATAAATTATATTCCGATCTTAAGCGACTCTTATAATTAATTTTTAATTATCTTTAGCATAATCATTTTATTTTCTTAGTTTTACATTTCTGATCATGAATTTATTGTTTATTTATTCATAATTAATTTCAAAACAATGAATGTTGCTTTTTTTAATATATTCAAATATTTGTTTTCTCTACAAGAAAAATATTCCTAAGATTCCCTTTTTAGAAAAGATATTTCTTTGCCATTCTTTTCAAAGCCATTTTGACACGTTTGGCTAAAAGAAAATGTAGGATAAAAGCATCTCTTTGAATATCCCTTTGAGTTCCCTTTATCCCTAATCCTGTAACCCAAATGTGTGAAAAAACTTTTCGTTTTTCCCCTCTAAGATTCTACTTAGTCTTAGCTGTAAAAAAGTACGAAAACTTTTTATCCGTGTATATATACATAAGCTTCTTTTCTATTAAAATATGTTTTAACAAAAGTCAAGCACATTTTTTTTTCTTCTAAGGAAAAAATAAAAACCTTTCTTTCCAAAAATTACAATTGAATCCATTTTGTTTCAGTACAATTTTAGATTAAATTAAAAAAAAGAAAAAAAATTTCAATATCTTTTACATTTACATATTAAAATATGTTCTATTCAAATAATTTTATATCTTCTTTTGTCTTTTACCCTTTATGTAGAAAAAAATTCTCCAACAAAAATCAACTAATTTCTCTATAAGGATTGAAAACCCCTTTTTGTACAATCGTCACTATAAATATCCAGTATAAATTTTAAAGCAACATATATTTTTCTAACAGGGGACTGAATGACAGAGTGGCTTGGTACCACAGGTATCGGGTTCGAGTCCCGGAGGTGCCATGGACGTTTGTAGTGGTTCGGAATCCACTTTAAACAGTAGGTTACAATCTAACATGATCGTAGAGCTTTGCGAGGGTATTGTTACTCCGCATCCGTAGCTTATCTTCAAGCTACACGTACCTCCTGTGTCGTGTTAAGTTAGTAACGTCGTCGGCAGCTTGCTTTAAGGCATCTAAGACAATTGTCTAAGTATTTGTACTACTAAACAAAAAAATACTTTTTCTAACACCTTCCTAACCTATTTAAACACGAATAGCAGACATTCTTTTGCAGAATGCTTTTGGAAAATCAATGCAACTAAATCCTACACGACAACTGGAATTATTTTTAACCTTATATTTAGGAATTACATCCGTGCTTTTCTTAAGCTATATTTTTATTTATTTTATCTGTTTATTTTTTAAATAAAAAAAAAAATTTGATGGTTTAGTGTTTGATAACTGAGAGCACATGTAAACATTACAAAACGCCAATATATATACATGTATATATATATATATAAGAGGATTTTGTGTTGTTGTTTGTTGTTTCTTATCCCACTTGGCTGGCCAAGCCCACGAGCCCATATGGACTCATGATTGAAGGGGAAGGAAGCAGCTTCTGTTGTGATGGAGCACCCGTAGGTAGAAGCCTGACTTTTTGCTCCGCGACGCCCTTACAGTCATAGAAGACCGGGACCTACGGCTTAAAGTGGATTCGAACCACTACAAACATCCATGGCACCGCCAAAATTCGAACCCGGAAACCTGTGGCATCGAGCGCAGACACTTTTCGGATAACATTCAGGTCCCCAACTAGCCAACGGCACACCCGTGTTCCCAGGTGGTCACCCAATGATACTGACCGCGCCCAATGATGCTTAACTTCGGTGATCTAAGAACCGGTATATTTTTTTTATATACGGAATTCATTGTAACTTAAAAACTATAACAATTAGTGCTCTAATTTATTTTAACCTCACGTCTAGTCAAAAAAATACGAATAATTTTTTTTTTTTTTTTTTTTTTTCTGTACCTTTTTGAAGAAAAAAAAAAATTTATTCTCAAACCACAATCAATTCTTTCCTCTAGAAGGATTGAAAACTCCTTTTTTTTTGTACAATCTTCACTATAAATATCTGGTATAAATTTTAAAGTCCTCTATATTTTTTTAACACCTTCCTAACTTCTACTAAAACACGAATAGCAGGCATTCTTCTGTTGAATTCTTCAGGAAAATCAATGCAACTAAATCCTACAACATGGCTGCTGGAATTATTTTTAGTTTTATTTCTACGAATTTCACCGATGCTTTTCTAAAGCTATATTTTTATTTATTTTATTTGTTTTATTTTTAAATAAAAAATGGTTTTGATCATTTAGATCTTGAAAACTGAGAGCATATAAATAAAAACCGCCAATATAAATAAATGGATTTTTGTATGTACGAATTCTAGTGTAATTTAAAAGATATAATAAGTGTTCTAATTTTTTTCTATGGCGTTATTATTCTTTATCCTCGCGTCTAGGTATTAAATTACGAATAAATTTTAATTAGTTCTTTTTAATTAAACAAAAATATTTATTTAACTCTCTGTGCGTATGGATTTACTTGGAAGTATCTGGCTCAATCTAGTGGCTTGATATAGAAATTTTTTAATTTAAATTATTTGTTTAAAATTAATTATATTAGAGTTGATTATTCGAAACTATCTCTTTCTAAAGTATATGTGTTTGTGAGGTTTTATTTATTTATTTGTTGTTGTTATTGTTTCTTTCAACTATTCTATTATATAGAATTATTTATTAAATATTCCCAATAACCTTTTTTTTTTACGTTTTCACAAAAATTCAATCGCTACTAGTGTTTTGCATTTGCAACACGATTTTTTTTTCGACTTTTTATTATTAATATTTTTCCCCCTAATAGAAATTTACCAAACTAATGTCTCATAATCGAAATCTCAAAAAATTTCGCGAATAATATTTTCAAATTGTTTTAAAATAGAAATGAATGAATACAAGAATAAAAAAATTTCAAATAATGAAATAATTTCAACCTTGAAAAGGAGAACGGGTCTTTTAAAAGAAACAGCTAATCCATATTCCTTCTTCATCTATAAATAAATCTTCGATAATGAGATTATGCAGGTTTGAAGGAGGAAGGCCTTTCTTTTAAACAACGGAATTTTGGTTTTGTTCGTATCAAAAACTATAACAATTAGTGTTTTAATTTATTTTTCTCTGTCTTTATTATTCTTTATCCTCGCGTCTAAATAAAAAAAAATTACGAATAAGTTTTAATTGCTTCTTTTAAATTAAACAAAAACCCTTATTTGACTCGAGCGTCTGTATGGTGCTACTTGGTAGTATTTGGCTCCCTCTGGTGGCTTGATTTAGAAAGATTCTTTAATGTAAATTAATTGTTTGTAGAGTTCGCCATAAATGAGATGATTGACTCTGCATAGACAACTTCTTGCTAAATGCTGAAATACAGTGAGTATTTTCCAGCCTACTGATTTCATGCGTTCATTTTTATACCAAATTGTTTTTTTTTCCATTTCAGAGGTATGGCGACGACGATTTGCCAGATTGACGGAGAGCCTTACAGCGATAGCAACCTCATCTTCTACTTTGTGAAGGAGAGAAGTTTCTTAAGCTTTAAGCCCATTGTTTAGATAGAAAAGGAGTAAGATATATATAAACATTTTAAAACATATTAATTAATTTTTTAATTAATAAGATATACATATATAATTTTTAGGAATAAAGTAGTAAGAATAGTTTAAAAGGGAAAAAATAAAAGATAATAAAAAATAAACAATAGAAGCAAAAACAATTAAAGAAGAGAATTTGAGACTCAGCGGAGAAACTGCATGGTAATACTGAAAGGAGGATATCGAAATGTTAATGAAGACTATTCAGAACAGCGCGAAGTATTTTCCAATTTTTGAAATCAGAAATGTCGTAATCTTAGTTGCCAAATCTTAGTTAGTCATTCAAAACAGAATTATTAATATTTGAAATGAAGTTATTAAAATTTAGTGCAATTTTGTAAACAAGTTGTTTAAAACTTGGTAAAGAACATGCCTGATATCTTCATTTCGGAAAAATTAGGGCGAATTTGTAATCATATGTAGGAGTTTATTTTTAGTCTTTATAATGATCTCAATTTCAAAGGCATTTACAATTCTGTCTATTAGATTTGATATTCATTAAATTTGTTCATCCGCATATTTCGTGCTACTAAAATTTAGAACATTTCTAGCATTAGCATCTGTAGAGTTCGCCATAAAGGCGATGACTGATTCTGTAGATGCAATTTCTTACTAAATGCTCAAATCCAATGGTGGACTTTCTAGCGTACTGATTTCATATTTCATACCCTTTATAAACCTCCCTCCAGTCAGAAACTCAAAGAGCTGTACCTGGTCTCTAAAATTGGCAAATATTAAAAATTTAGTTTTAGTAAAATTTGTTTCAAAGCTAAAAAAATTCTATTATAATTAAAATCATTTCCAATATATACATTATGTTTCTCTATTATATTTTTTATTAAAATCTCAGGGAAGACTTCTACTGCTTTAAATTGATAAAGCTTGAAATATAAATTAATTTAATGATTATATTATTCTTTGAGTATTAAAATTTCCTTAACCAATTATTTAACCAGCAAAATAAATATAGAAGATTCTGCTAATTTGATTTTCACTGTTTATTTTATTGAAGTTTTTTTTAGAGAATTAAAGGTTCATGGTACATATTTGGGAAAATTTTTGATATATTTGCAGTGAATAGTTTGAAAATTCTTGTAAAATATAATAAGAAAATAAACTTCGTCTGTGTTGCCAAACCATAGTAATTATAAATCGTTAAAAATAAAGAATAGAATTTTTTTTTCTCAATGCAAACAACTTTTTTCAACGTGATTAAAAATTAACCAGTTCTTAATTAGTGTGTGTTGAGGCAATAAATATAAAAATGCATTGAAATGAAACTAAAAAAAGAGAAGTTGTTGAAAAATGTATATTGTTTTAGAGATATCAGAGATCTATAATTAAAAAAAAAACAATCTATCCGATATATTATTAAATGTTTTGTTAACATTTATCGTTTGCCTTTAAAAAAAATATTCGAAAAGGTTTCTCTTTTTAGTGATGGCAATGGAGATGTTTGTTAATGTAATTATTATTACTTTTTGTATTTGGAATATTATTTTACACACTTATTATCGTATGCAGCGTTTATTTGTAAGTATTTTTATCATCTTTTATTGTTAATTAACAAATTTGTGAAAAGAAAAATCAACGAATGTTTCATGTTAAAATTCTGTTATGATTAAAAAAGGGACTGTTATTTACATTGTTCGTACATCGTTTCAGAGATATCAGCGATCTAGAATTAAAAAAAAAAAAAACATTGTATCTGATATATTAGTAAATGTTTTGTTAGCAATTATCGATTGCTTTAAAAAAAATTGTTGGAAAACGTTCCTATTTTTGATGATTGCAATGGAGATTTTTGGTAATGTAATTATTATTATTACTTGTTTTTGGAACATTATTTTACACACTTATCTGAAATGCAATTTTTATTTGTAAGTATTCTTTTTATCAATTTTTGAAGTTAATAAATCAGTTTGTGAAAAAAAAAAATTTCAAATTTTTATGTGAAAATTCTGTTAGGATTAAAAAAAGCATTGGTATTTACACAATAGATTAAAGATATGGAATTGGTTTTTTTTTTTTCAAATTAAAATGAATTACATTTAGATGATTAAATTATTTACAATTCGTTATTTTTTTTAATAAAAATAGTGCACGCATTTTTTAATTACAATTAATAATAATAATACTCTTAATCTTTACAATAAATTGAATAATTAATATCAAAAATGTATAAAATAAAACATACCAACCATTTATAAAAAAAACTAAATTCTGTTTCAAAAATACATTAATTGATTAATAAAAAAAAATCGTATATATTTCTGAAATATTTAAAAAGAATTTTGAATGTTCAGAAAGAGGAATTTAAATAAAAAATACGATTGCAATTTGGAAATAAAAAAAACTTGTTCATAAATTATGATTTGATATTTTTATTAAATATTTCGATTTACCAGTAAAATACACAAGTAGTAATACAATAAAAAAAAACTTGTAAGATATTCATTTATCACTAAAAAGAAATGAGACTCATATTTAAACATTCAAGCAAAAAATTTGCAATTGCGATTAATTAATCGTTATTTGGTATCATTTATTATGAGTATAAAAAATTAAAATAAATAACTGGGCTGTTAATAAATGGGTTTCATTTTCAAAATGTCATTTTTACCCTAAAGATAACATTATTCGATAAGTCTATTGCCGTTGTAATTTGTTCAACCCTGAATTGTTGACTCCAATCGCACACACTCAGTTGATATCTTATAGAAATGAAATACTTAATAATCATTTTTAAAAAATGAAAATTTGCAGACCATTTTCAAAAAACGAACTATGGTATTTCGTCTTTAATATTTACTGTTTGAAATTTAGAACTTTTGTGCGACCTTTTTATGCAGAATAAATGTTTTTCCTTTGCTGTCAGAAACAAAATGGCAAATGTTTCCGTAACTTGGCACTTATATAAGCTTCACTCTTGATTAATAGCACTCTTTTAAGCGAAAGATATGTTAATGTGGATGCGCTTCAGGCAATGGGTTTCTCCGCGACATCTTGAAAATGTCAAACATAAATGATATTAAGATAAACATTTATATTCTAAAATTTGGATACGAGATGCCATTTCTGAACTCATTTGCATATTAGCGTTCTGAGTTGTGTTCTGTGTTACTTAATCGAAAGGAAATTAAAATTGTTTTGTGGTAGAATGTTTTGACGTATTCCAAAGTCTGGTTCAGTGT